CATATTAAATGAAAACATTGACTGTTGACAAATCTGTCGTTAGATTTTGGAGCTGAGAAGAGGTTGCTGACACTTCTTTTAGTCAAACCACACCTGGCTGATGGTTTTATTGGTTGATAGATAAGACTGTTACTAGATCGGAATGTGTAACATGTGCAAAATAAAAGCAAAGTTGTCTATTTTTGTTAATTACAATAAAATGTCTGTAATCTTTGGCTTTACTGCGTGTTTGTTTGCAGGTTCTTGCCTCTCTCATAATACGGTTGGCTCTGGCTGAGACGTTTTGTCTGAACTGTGGGATTCTGGCGCTGGATGAGCCCACCACCAACCTAGACAGAGAGAATATAGAGTCTTTGGCACACGCACTGGTGGAGTAAGTCTTTATTTAAAAAAAAAATAATATATAGCCAGTCTTTAAACAGGAAACTCTCTGGCTGAGACGTTTTGTCTGAACTGTGGGATTCTGGCGCTGGATGAGCCCACCACCAACCTAGACAGAGAGAATATAGAGTCTTTGGCACACGCACTGGTGGAGTAAGTCTTTATTTAAAAATATATATATATATATAGCCAGTCTTTAAACAGGAAACTATGTCTATTTACAGCTGGGGGAACTTGACGAAACAACAACTTTAATTTGCTATGTAACTAAAACATCTACTTTTGGTTTCTTTGTAGGATAATCAAGAGTCATTCTCGCCAACGCAACTTCCAGCTCCTTGTTATCACCCACGACGAGGATTTTGTGGAGCTCCTGGGACGGTCCAACTATGTGGAGCATTTCTACAGGATCAGGAAGAACCAGGACCAGTGCTCAGAGATCACGAAATGTAACATCAACACTCTCAACTCCTACCTGCACTGATGTATCAGGTGAGAGAAGAAAGACCGTTAGTCTACAGAGGTGACGGAATCAAAGTTCAGTTTTTGGACCGTTGTTAGGCATGACCTAAACATAATGTTTATCAGCCTCCCTACACCTACCTACAAAAAGTGTATGTTGGCCTTCTTGTAAATTTAGTTGACGACTTTCAGAAATATATACATTTTAAAAAAACAATCTGATTCTAATTTATTTTATTTTATGATCTGTTATGTTGGCATCAAAAAGTACTAAGTGCTGCTGATTGATTAAAAACAATAATTGATCATAATTAAACTAATTAATCACATTCAGTTTTTAATTAATATAAAACAATATTCACATAAATCCTAACCATATTTAAATCTGCTCAGCCCTGGCACCAAACACATTATATAATGTTTATATTATTATATAATTTGGGGAAACACATGCTACATAACAACAGATGCTTTGTTAATTGCATTATTTATTTATTTTTTTATGCATTAAACAGCAAATATTAATTTAATACATTTTTCCCCACCCTAATTTGGATACTTAAAAATGTAAAAATGTCTTTGCATAATATCTGTCACTGTGAGGAGCACGGAGTGAGGAGACGCAGAGTCCAATTCAAACATACAGTCTTTAATAACATCCAGGGAAACAGGAAAACACACGTAGCAAGGGTTGACATCAACAATTCCAGACAAGGGAGAACAGAACGGGCTAGAACTCGAATAGGGCAGATAACGAGGGGCAGACAGGTGAGGGGGATAACTAATAATGAGAAACACCTGGAACTAATAGAACTAAATGGGGACAGGAACAGGAAAGACCAAATAAGGACAAACAGGAACAAAACGGGAACATAGGGTAATTGTACCTATTAAGCACAGTTCCATTTTTGAACTCAGATTATAAAAAGAAAAAATAATTTATTATCCTACTTGATGTCTTAACCAATTGATGTGTTTGTTACTACATACCTCCTGTAATTTCAAGTCATTCAGATAATTACACAGAGATATGGGTCTCCATGTGTTGACACTGTCTGGCGACCATTTTGAAAGCTGTCTGAAAACTTTCACCAAAAGAGGAGCCCTTTAAATGTGCATTTTTTTAGATGTTTATTTTGGGTAAGATTCACTACTTACTGTAAAATTAAGAGATTAATGTTCAGACTTTTGCATATTATAACCTGGAACTTGGATGTAAATATATTGAAATATTTAAAGTTAAATCCAAAAGATAGTTTTAGCAACATAGTGCAGTTGCTACAGAACACAGTTAGCTGACTAGCTGTATAAGATTGTGTGCTGCGCTAATATGTTACTTCTCAGGCATTACTGGCTTGTACTTTTACATCCATAAGATTATAAATTGACAGTTTATTGCTGGTCTGTGGTTTTAAACTGCTGTAATTTTTAATTATTTAATTATTACATTATTGTAAGGTGACCTTAAAGGGTACACTACTATTAAAATCACACAGCTTCAGTGTGACATCAATAAGAAAAAGTATAGTTCCATAGATATTGTTAATAATAGTTGTTCATAATAAAATATGTGTGAACTTAATACATGCCCTAGATTATTTATTTAGCAAAATCTTGTCATTTTAATAATTATTACATGAAATGTATTAAAAAATTGTTGCTGCTCCAATTAAGCTCAGTGTGCTCTCTTTAAGCTCTTCCACATTGAACGTCTATGTAAATACTTCATAAACAGACTTTAAATATTAACTGATGGTCGTCACTTGAAGTTGATCTTAATAAAATTATTAATAACTTATTTTAACAGCTTTAAGATGACAAAATCGAGATCTTGTCATTTTAATAATTATTACATGAAATGTATTAAAAAATTGTTGCTGCTCCAATTAAACTCAGTGTGCTCTCTTTAAGCTCTTCCACATTGAACGTCTATGTAAATACTTCATAAACAGACTTTAAATATTAACTGATGGTCGTCACTTTAAGTTGATCTTAATAAAATGATTAATAACTTATTTTAACAGCTTTAAGATGACAAAATCGAGACATAGCTATAGTTTATGCCCAAAGATGAAAGAGGCATGTCTTCCATTCAAAGAAGGAGCCAACAGAAACCTGTCGTATCTGTCCAGGAAAAAAAGCAACTAAAGGCTGGAATATGCTACACTACTTTTAAAATGTGAACAGCTTTTTAAAACACTAGGCTTCATACACTTACCTACTTTGTAAATAGTTTGTGTTTTGAATGTGTGTTACTTCGCCTGAATGTGGACTAGTCTAGATGTTGCAATGTGCTTAAATGACACTTCACTATGAATGTATAACTGATCAAATTGAGTGCCTTATTGCTTGATTTTAGTGTTGTTGTTTTTTTTGTGATTGACTTTGTACCTTCAAATAATTTTTTTTTTTTTTTTTAATTATTCTTTAAAAATGTTGTTCAAAATAAAAAAGATTTTTTAATAAAACATGATGTGAGCTTAATGGGAACAGGGGTGTGCTTAAAGTGTACAAAAAAATGTACCCATTAAGCACAGGCAGACTTTTTGCATTTAATGTATATCTTAATTCAAATGCTTTTGTCACTTAAAATAAAACTTAATATTTTTGTGTGAGAGATTAATATTTTATTTTAATATAACTTCTTGTACTGAAACCAATATATTGTGCACTAAAATGGCTCAAATGTAGATTTTGGTGAGCTTAATAGGTAAGTTTACCCTACACGTGACATTACTCCCCCCTCCCGGAAGGCGCGTCCTGTGCCGTAACAATACCACCGGGGAGGATCAGGGAGCTCCGGGAGCCATGGCGGAGCAGGCAGTTCAGGTTGCCATGGCGGAGCAGGGAGTTCAGGTCGCCATGGCAGAGCAGGGAATTCAGGTTGCCATAGCGGAGCAGGGAGCTCAGGGGGCCATGGCGGAGCAGGCAGGTCGCCATGGCAGAGCAGGGAATTCAGGTTGCCATAGCGGAGCAGGGAGTTCAGGTTGCCATGGCGGAGCAGGGAGTTCAGGTTGCCATGGCAGAACAGGGAATTCAGGTTGCCATAGCGGAGCAGGGAGTTCAGGTTGCCATGGTGGATCAGGGGACTCAGGAGGCCATGGCGGAGCCTTAGCCGGCTCGGCCACGGGCATATGGCCAAAAAAATGTTCTTGGGGAAAATTAGGAATTCTGGGGGGGCGCTCTGGAGGAGCAGGCACTGGAGGGCGCTCTGGAGGTGCAGGGCTGGCTAACTCGGAGGAATCAGGAAACGAAGGAGGGCTGGACGGGACCAGCGGAGACGAAGGAGACTCGGGGGACGATGGAGAGCTGAACGGGACCAGCGGAGACGAAGGAGAACTTTCTAGAGCGGATTCTGGGGTGAGGATAGGAGCCGAGAACTCTGGAGGTAGCACCATGTCCAAGAGTGCAGAGTCAGCGGCGGCCGGCGGGCTTGACGGCGAGCTGGTTCTGGATCGGGGATGGACACTCTCCCTTCCCTCCAGCTCAGTCCAGTGGTGTCTGGGAGGTCCAGAACAGAGAGTTAATTGTGACATCGTCCAACGCCGTAGTAGCGGCGAGCCCGCAGAATTCCCAGGCGAACTCTATGAAGGGAAGATCCCTGCGGGCTAGAGCGGAGAAGCGAGCGGCTATTTCCATGGCCGTGGAGAGAAATAGGAAAACAAAAACTTTCAAAAATGGAAAAGAAACACGGGGCATGTTTGACACACCCACCAAACAAGAGAAAACGCATCTCAAACCCCGTTGCACACCGTTTCCAGGAAACATGTCGTTCAAACCGGAAACCGTAGCAAAACGGTGCACACCGGTCTGAGCTTGAACTTGCCCCAGATGACAATATCAAAGGATCAACCCAAGTTGCATATATTTTAAAGAAATAATGCACATGCACACATCTAGTGTTTTACAATAAGTTTTGAGTGATAAAATGATACATATAATGTGAGGAATTATTTAAATATTGTCTTTTTTAAATCAATGTCTAGTGTGAGATATTTGTGGAACATGTCCATAGTTAAAGTGATGAAATCTGTGGTTATTCTGCTAGGACATGAGCGGGAAAATAAATTCAGTTAAAATAAGTTTAGGTATTAAATTTAGGTAATAAAAATGCATAAGAAATTAGTTTTGAGAATGTTATCTGATTTGATCATTTGTTATCAATGAAATTCACACATACATTTTAAATTGGAATTTTATGAGACTCACCAGTGTGTAATTAGAGGGATTACTTGCCATATATGTTCCTAAAATTAGCTTTAACATTTACGTTCAGCCAACCAACATCTTAAAATTAGATTTCAAATGTTCCGGACATTTGCTGCCGTCATCTGTATGACTAATGCACCTCCAATGTATCAATGCAACTGCAAGTACAAACACATGCAGATTTGCTGCAAAAGCTATCAGTATTGATCGTTTGATTTTGCAGTATTGAAACTTATTTGCACAAGCAAACATAGTGAAGATGTAGCCTTCAGCACCCCATCTAGAGGCCTGTTACCCAAAATCATTATGATCTTTCTTGGCAGTTTATCAGTGTCAGTTCCAGGAAATCAAGACAATATGACAAATTATCAACCACATCTCAAGATATTCACTGAGCGCACCGTTATCAGCCAATGAACGAAGCTTAGCTTACGATGCAAAAAGGAAGCTTGGTAGCCAAGTCTTGCCTTTTTGAGAGTATATATACACAGCATTCGGCAGTGGTGGAATCAGGTAGCTCTGGCCTTCAAACAACCAAAGTCTTGAGAGACCCAAGCAGACAGACAAAATGAAGACTATACTACTGCTCGTTTTCGCTGTCTTGGTCTCCAGCGCTCCTGCGGAACACAACGATAAGAACTTATTGGGAGAGATTATTGATGAGCTGGACAAAGCAGTGAAAATGTTCTCAAAAGAGAACAAGGTAAGATTTAACTAAAGGATAGTAACTAGTATAGTAACTATAGCAAGCCAAAACTGTCTATGTTAATATACAGGGCAGAATGTAATTGCAATATTAATTTTACCTGTTATTTCTAGAGAAATGATATCTTCCTGACAAAACTGCAAATGGATGGCTGTAAGGTGAGATGATACACATGGATTTTTATGGACTCACATCATTAGAATAATAAGATGGTATATTAATATTTGGGTGTCTTTTATGTGCTTTATTGGGTTTGTTCACTTTTGTTACTCTCCTATGTGGTAACATTTATGAGGCTGAAGCTACAAATATTTTGTACAATCAAATTTGAAGGTTTCAAGCCCTGGTCTTACCTGTGATTTCGATATCTTTACAGGGTGAGGTTTTCTGCCAGGCTGAGCATGAACTGATAAAGAAGGTTTCTGGGCTGTCTGGTGCCAAATTTGACCATTTCCGTATTGACAAGAAACTAATGAGGAATTTAAACAAGTATAACGAGCGCCATGTGGTAAGTTGAACTCTGGAACTTGATGTTTTATCTATGTCCTTTTTGAGTAGAATAACCATAACATGTACTTTATTTCAGAAAACCTGCAAACCTGCTGATGAAGACCAAGATGAAATCCTTCTGCATGCTTTCTTGAAAAATCTCTTGACGTGTGTTAAGAGTGCATATAGCCAAGTCAAGTAAAATTAATTTATGAAGGATCACATTTTGATTTTTTTGTCTTTTTGAGAGTATTATTTTGTTTACATTGACTGTAGCAGTATGTAATTTTGTACCTGAAATAAATTTGCATAACTATAATTTTTCAATCTTAAATATGGTCTGATGTTTTACAGTGCACGTTTTGTGCAGTATTTCTGTGAAGTGACTGAAAATAACTTTTCAATGAAGCGGTGAGTGCGCACGAATATGCTATGCATTTTTAGAGAGAAACCTATGATGCATGTAGCCCACATGTCAAACTTCTGTCCTGCAGAGTGTAGCTCCAAAACACCTGCCTGGAAGTCTCTAGTAATCCTGAAGACCTTGATTAGCTGGTTCAGGTGTGTTTAATTAGGGTTGGAGCTAAACTCTGCAGGGCAGTGGCTCTTCAGGAGCTGAATTTGACACCCCTTGATGTAGTGGCTTCTTGACCTTTTGTCCAGCACTGCAACGTCCATGCATGTCCAAAGCAGTGTCTCCTTTAACCATTACCACTCTATAGTTGTAGGTCCTTATTTTCCTTTACCTCAGGAAGTGAAAAACAGAGGTTGTGTTAATTGTGTTATTTTAATGCATTAATCAGCAAATGTTAATCACAGATATTAACATTATTTTTCCAGCTCAGTTTGAATATTACACTCTAAAAAATGCTGGGTTAAGTACAACCCAGTGCTGAGTAAAATAGGGACAAACCCAGCAATTGGGTTGTTTTGACCCAGCGGTTGGGTTACTACCCAGAAGGTTGGGTTAAACATTTAACCCAACCGCTGGGTCAAAACAGCCCAATTGCTGGGTTTGTCCCTATTTTACCCAGCATTTTTTAGAGTGTAAAAACGTATGATGGCTTTAGATAATATATCAAAAGATCAAACCTAGTTGTATTTATTTTAAAGTTCATTTTAAAAATTAGTTCCGGTAATATAAAAATGCCTCAGAAGTTAGTTTTGAGAAAAGATGTCATTTGGTTTGATCGTATTTATGCAATGAATTTCATACATGCATTTAAAATGTGACTCGAGTGTCCAATTTTTTCAAGCCACTGTATGAGACTCACCAATGTGTCATTAGAGGGACTACTTGTCATATGTATGGTTTTAAAATTGGTTTTTTGCCAACTAACATCTTAAAATTAGATTTCGAACGTTATTTATCATCGGACATTTGGTGCCGTCATCTGTATGACTAATGCATCTCCAGTGTATTCACGCAACTGCTAGTACAAACACCTGCAGATTTGCTGCAAAAGCTATCAGTATTGATTGTTTGATTTTCCAATAATAAAACTTATTTACACAAGCAAACATAGTCAAAATGTGGCCTTCAACACCCCATCTAGAGGCCTGTTACCCAAAATCATTATGATCTTTTTTTATGATCTCTTTGTCGGTGTCAGTTCCAGGAAATCAGGACAATATGATTTCAAAATGTATCAACCACTTAATTAAGATATTCAGTGAGTGCACTGTTGCAAATTATGTAAAAACGAAGATTGGTAGCCAAGCCTTGCCTTTTTGAGAGTATACAGTATATACACAGCATTCAGCAGTGGTGGAATCGGGTAGCTCTGGCCTTCAAACAACCAAAGTCTTGAGAGACCCAAGCAGACAGACAAAATGATGAAGACGATGCTCACTTTCACTGTATTCGCCCCCAGCATTCCTGCGAATCTCAGCGAAATGACTTTACCGGCAGAGCTCGATGATGAGCTGGACATGGCAATGAACATTGTCCCGAAGGAGACCAAGGTCAGATTTAACTAAAGGATGGTAACTAGTATAGTAACTGTAGTAAGCTAAAACTGTCTATACTTTAATATACAGAGCAGAATGTGATTGCAATGTTCATTTTACCTGTTATTTCTAGGAAAAGAAAATCTTACTGAAAGATGCGATAAGTGACAAGATTTTAGTGGAAACGACTGATGATGAGCTGGACACGTCAATGAAAAATGTCTCAAAGGAAAAAGAGGTAATATTTAACTAAAGTGTAGTAAACTGCCTACTTTAATGTGCAGAATATGATTGCAATGTTTATTTTACCTGTAATTTCTAGGGGGAAAAAATCTTACCAAAAGGTGCAATAAGCAAAAAGACTTTACCGGAAGAGCTTGATGATGAGCTGAACACAGCATTGAAAAATGTCCCAAAAGAGGCCGAGGTAAGGTTAACTAAAGTGTAGTAACTAGTAGGCTGTAGTACTATAGTAAGCCTAAACCGTCCACTTTAATATGCGGAATGTGATTGCAATATTAAGTTTACCCGTTATTTCTAGGAAAAGGAAATCTTACTGAAAGTTGCGATAAGTGATGATACTCCTAAAATACACAACGATAAGAACTTATTGGGAGAGATTATTGATGAGCTGAACAAAGCAGTGAGAATTTTCTCAAAGGAGAACCAGGTAAGATTTAACTGAAGGATACACTCTAAAAAATGCTGGGTTGTTTCAACCCAACTTTGGGACAAATATGGACTAACCCAACTTTTGGGTTAAAAATTTAATGTAAAAATTTAACCCAACGGTTGGGTTAGTCCATATTTGACCCAAAGTTGGGTTGAAACAACCCAGCATTTTTTAGAGTGTAGTAACTATAGCAAGCCAAAACTGTCTGTTAATATACAGGGCAGAATGTAATTGCAATATTCATTTTGCCTGTTATTTCTATAGAAATGAAATTTTCCTGACAAAACTGCAAATGGATGGCTGTAGGGTGAGATGATACACATGGATTTTTATTGTCTTGCTGCATTAGTACAATAACTACTACAGCATATTAAGCTTATAAGCTTGACTGTGTTCAGCTCTTTTTCCATTTCTGATAATCAAATCAAATCTGGCGATCAAATTCAGAGGATTCAAGCCCTGGTCTTACGTGTGATTTCAATATCTTTGCAGCGTGAGGTTTTATGCCAGGCTGAGCATGAACTGATAAAGATTTCTTGGCTGTCTGGTGCCAAATATGAGCTTTTCCGTTTTGACAAGAAACTAATGAGGAATTTAAACATGTATAACGAGCGCCATGTGGTAAGTTGAACTCTGGAACTTGATGTTTTCTCTATGTCCTATTTGAGTAGAATAACCATAACATTTACTTTATTTCAGAAAACCTGCAAACCTGCTGATGAAGACCAAGATCCAATCCTTCTGCATGCTTTCTTGAAAAATCTCTTGACGTGTGTTAAGAGTGCATATAGCCAAGTCAAGTAAAATTAATGTATGAAGGAACCTTTTTTTTTTTTGTATTTATGAATGTATTATTTAATTTACTTTGACTATTGCAGTATATAATTTTGTACCTGATGGAATTTTGCATAAATATATTTATTTCATTCTTAAATATGGTCTGTTTTTTTATGAAGTACAGATTTAGTGCAGTATTTCTGTGCAGTCACTGGTTTTAAAATGTGAACTATATTACTTGCACTGAAAAAAAAAAAAGAGCATTACACTTAAGATTTACACTGTCTATACATTATCTATTACTTTTTTGTGTTCCTGATATTTTAAGATTCTTTACGTTTTATGTTGTGTGACTTTATATTTTATCCATGCAAAATGATGACAGTGATGGACAAATCTGCAAAATTATTAAAACTGTGAAAAGCAATCATTGTGACCACAGTTATGTTATCTGCGATCTTTATATTTATCATATGTTCTGTAGTCCACAAGGACCATATACAAGCCACACTGATTAATAGTCATGCATGGAGCTATTAATCCTTCATTTATTCATACAATTTATAATTTATGCTTGTTTAATATTTTATGATGCTAATAAGAGAGGAGTGTCATTTTTCTTGAATGAGATGTCTGTGTTTCAGAGGCCATATACATTGTGTTAAGTGGATCACAGAGGCTTTGATACGACTTGATCAAATTCTAATAATGATAATAATAACAATGGGAGATTGAAAACAACAGATTGCTTTCTCAATCATACTTGATATCTCTATATGCTTCATGCAGCTCCTGTTTCACTACTTCACAGTTCATTCAGCTTAAACATTTTATCATTGTGTTTTCTGATAATCAAACCCATGACCTGAGTGTTACTAGCACTGTGCTCTACCAGTTGCACTACTTTTAGTCAGTCATATATATATATATATATAAGGTTCCTAAGAGCACGGTGGCCTCCATAATCCTTAAATGGAAGACGTTTGGGATGACCAGAACCCTTCCTAGAGCTGGCCGTCCGGCCAAACTGAGCTATCGGGGGAGAAGAGCCTTGGTGAGAGAGGTAAAGAAGAACCCAAAGATCACTGTGGCTGAGCTCCAGAGATGCAGTCGGGAGATGGGAGAAAGTTGTAGAAAGTCAACCATCACTGCAGCCCTCCACCAGTCGGGGCTTTATGGCAGAGTGGCCCGACGGAAGCCTCTCCTCAGTGCAAGACACATGAAAGCCGGCATGGAGTTTGCTAAAAAAACACCTGAAGGACTCCAAGATGGTGAGAAATAAGATTCTCTGGTCTGATGAGACCAAGATAGAACTTTTTGGCCTTAATTCTAAGCGGTATGTGTGGAGAAAACCAGGCACCTGTCCAATACAGTCCCAACAGTGAAGCATGGTGGTGGCAGCATCATGCTGTGGGGGTGTTTTTCAGCTGCAGGGGCAGGACGACTGGTTGCAATCGAGGGAAAGATGAATGCGGCCAAGTACAGGGATATCCTGGACGAAAACCTTCTCCAGAGTGCTCAGGACCTCAGACTGGAACTAAGGTTTACCTTCCAACAAGACAATGACCCTAAGCACACAGCTAAAATAACGAAGGAGTGGCTTCACAACAACTCTGTGACTGTTCTTGGATGGCCCAGCCAGAGCCCTGACTTAAACCCAGTTGAGCATCTCTGGAGAGACCTAAAAATGGCTGTCCACCAACGTTTACCGTCCAACCTGACAGAACTGGAGAGGATTTGCAAGGAGGAATGGCAGAGGATCCCCAATTCCAGGTGTGAAAAACTTGTTGCATTTTTCCCAAAAAGACTCATGGCTGTATTAGATCAAAAGGGTGCTTCTACTAAATACTGAGCATTTTTCAGTTTTTCTTTTTTAATAAATCTGCAAAGATGTCAACAATTCTGTGTTTTTCTGTCAATATGGGGTGCTGTGTGTACATTAATGAGGAAAAAAAAATTAACTTAAATGATTTTAGCAAATGGCTGCAATATAACAAAGAGTGAAAAATTTAAGGGGGTCTGAATACTTTCCGTACCCACTGTATATATATATAGTCTTAGTGGCCTCAAACATTTGGCAACCATGTCAACAACATTATGGCACCAACTTCTACATTGAAAAGCACCTCACATTTTCTTCAGAAAATATTAAATCTAGTGCAAATTGTCTTTCTGCTTCTATTTAATATACGCCTCCTGCTTTCTCTTCTGCTTTTAGCTGCAACATGGGCCCTATAGTGGGAGCTCATGAGAAGATGTGGAGTGATATAACCACACTGCATTGGTGCATGTATTATTCAAAGGCAATTCAAGAGCCAAGTGTGCACACATCCCACAATCTGGCATGCTTTTAAAGGGGCACGAATGATCAGATACCCATGCCTATCAGCCACAGGGTCAACTCTATTACAGTTTTCTGGTGTCACGTAGCCTCGACTTACTCTTCTCTGGTTAAAAACGAGTGTCTTTGCTTACTGGGTATTTTAATGCACTTCCCCTGACTCCTCACCAGTAAAGTATGATTTTAAAGGGGTCATGCGATTTCAAGTTTTCCTTACTCTTTGGAGTGTTACAAGCTCTTGGTGCATAAAGAAGTTCTGTAAAGATGCAAAGACGAACGTCTCAAATCCAAAGAGATATTCTTTATAAAAGTCAGCTGGCCAATCAGAGCAGACTGCGCTTGTCAAAGGAGGGGGCTTTGTAGAAAACGAAGCGTTTGAGAGAGGCGGGGCATAGAGGACCTACAATAATGTACAGTATTTGAAAAATAATGTGTTTTTTGAACATTAAAGCATGTCAACATACTCTGTTACACAAAATAATGATCTTTAAAATAGCATCATATGACCCCTTTAAGTGATTCAGGATTGCATGTAGCATGTAGCAATAAAGATTACAATTGTACTAAAAAGAGTTTCTCTTTGTCACTTCTTGTCCTTCAGAGCATTTTGTAGATTATTTCAGACAGGTGTTTCTGTATTTCTGGTCTTCATTAAAATGTGTACTAGAGTTTTGAAATCTTCCCTTGACTTTGCCCGTGATATTTTCAGCATTAACATCTGATAGGGATTTTTTAAAATAATTATAAGTTCCACTAGCTATAGCACAGGTATATTTGTAGCAATAGCCAATAATACATTGTATGGGTCAAAATTATCATTTTTAATTCCAAAAATCATTAGGATATTAAGTAAAGATCATGTTCCTTGAATATATTTTGTAAATTTCCTACCATAAATATATCAAAACTTAATTTTTGATTGGTAATATCAAATGCAACTTCAATTGGACACCTTTAAAGGCGATTTTCTCAATATTTTGATTTTTTTGCACCCTCAGATTCCAGATTTTCCAGCTTTCAGATGATGTATAAATCTCAATTTCAAAAAAAAAAAAATTGGACCCTTATGACTGGTTGTCACACACACACACATGAAGAGTATTTGCAAAAATATTTTTTTTAATTTTCAAATCATGTTTTTTATTATGTTATCATGTTTTTATTGTGTTAGTTAGCTGTATTTTTTTTAGTTATTTTTAACCCAATCAAAATAACCCAACTGAGATTAATTGGAATGCGCAATGAAAAAACATGATTTTTGAAAATGTTTAAAAACGGAGTTATCTGTTTTTGCAAATTAACTCGTGCGTGCGTGCGTGTGTGTGTGTGTGTGTGTGTGTGTATCATAAATCATAATCAGTCTTAGTGTTTAATATCCTCTTTCCATCATTTATTGTGCTGGAATTTACTACCATATGTAAACTGCAGCAACTTGTTTATTTATTTATTTACAAATACATGA